TATTGATACTTCTCTCAGTATAAGAGAGAATACAAGAGAATATAGAAAGTACATTTTCAAAGTCATGGTTTAACTTACTATATTTAGCTTTTAACAGATATAAATATCTACCCTATATAACTATTTACCATATATACCCAACTTTTTACTCGCTAATAACAATTTACTTTATCATTTACCAAATATAACTTTACTATATATAACGTTGACTCAGTTATATATAAATAAGCATTAGTCTCATAACCTAACACTAACTGGCTTAGAAGGATTTTGATATGGTGGAGGGGTTTTATAAGGGGTTGATATGAGAGACAAAGATGGAAATATGGCTAGTTCGGCAAGTGTTCGGGTTAAGTTTTTATGTAGTTCTTGTAAGTGCTACAAATACTTTTGTTCGATCTTATCTAGAAAATGAAACTTAACGATATCTAGAGTAAATGAGTAAATAATCATTGGGAAACATGTGTTGGGGAGTTGATCTCACCAATTGGATTCACAACTTAATTCACTTGAACACCGTAAAACTGTGAGATCTCATATTGGTTGGAAAGAGGAACGAAACATTCTTTATGCGGGTGTGGAAACCTCTCTCTAATAGATGCATTTTAAAAATTGTGAAGCTGACGGCAATACGTAACGGGTCAAAATGGACAAATGGTATCAAAGCCAGACACTGGGTATTGTGCCTACGAGAACGCTGGCCCCAAAGGGAGTCGATTGTGAGATCCCACATCGGTTAAAGAGAGGAACAAAACATTTCTTATAAGTGTGTAGAAATCTCTCCCTAATAGACGGGTTTTTAAAACTGTGGGCCCAAAGGGGTGGATTGTGAGATCCCACGATTGATTGGAGAAGAGAACGAAGTATTTCTTATAAGAACGGAGAAATTTAAATCGAGGCCTTCATGCGATTTGGGCCTTAGTTGAGGCTTATTTTGGACTTGATTGGCCATATGGCCCCATGCAAATAACATATTATTGGCCACCTTGGAGTAGGACAAGGCCAACGCAATTCAGGCAATCCTTAAGGAAATCAAGGGAGGCTTATAGATGAAGGAGTCAAAAGGGAATGATCGAGAAGTAGAAGCTTCAATGACATGACCGTTTGGGGCTAGGGTCATTTCAACAAAAGGAGAAGGAAGGACTTGAAAGGAGAAGGAAGATACTACTAACCTTCTTCTGGTTTCTAGCTACGAGTTCGGAAAGCAAGGGATCCTAAATATAAGAGATCCCTCAAAATAGAATAGGGTGGGCAGGGCTTCCACAAGGGTCTCCCCTCTTCCGGATCATGATAGATGGGAAGGAGCCCTATCTTGAAAAAGCCATAATCAACCTTTTTATATATGTATGTACACCTTTGTTTTAAAGTGGGACGGTCATTCATCATGTTAATTCAATGTAAATGCTTAGAAATACAACACAAATTCAAAAAAAATATAACAATAAATAGTGAAAAATTGAAAAAATAATTGGCCATTTTATTATCCATTTCTAATCAAGGGTCTTTGTTAGCCCTAAGAAAACAAAGAATAAGAAAAGAAAAGAACGGAAAACTGGTTCAGAAATCTGAAAATTTTGACAAAGGAGTCGAATGCACATGTGATAGAACATGAAAGGGAGAGATTTAAAAAATTTGGAGCTCTGAACACACAAAAATCTAGCTTGAGAAGGCACATGTCATCCAAGTAAGTAACTACTTTAAGCAAGTAATACTTATAGGAATCGCTAAGACGTACTAGCATGCGACCATTCCTTGCCTTAGGTGGTTAGATAATACATGTTAAGGGCTTCAAGAGGGCATTTTTGGATGAGCATGTAGTATGTCATGGTAAAATTACCGTTATGCCCTTACGTTAAAATTTTCGATAACCATGTTGTTTTATGTATTGGACTAGGCTAGAAAGAAAATATCCATGACTAGAATACTAATTGGGCAATATAGATGAGTGTTGTATGCATGATGTAAGGAATTACAAAAATTCCTCTAGGATGAGATTTGTGATAAATGATGTTTTATATGCGAGCTATTGTGATATGTGCTCTGGGTGATTGATGGATGTTATTTTCCTGTAGAGTGTGTTTATCTTCATAGAGCTAGAGCGTTTGAGTTAGGTTGGCTAGACGATAACCTAGGTCAGAAAGTCTCCAGTAGACTGAGCACCTTAGGATCATAAGCAATGGATAGAGGGTCTAAACCCTAGTGCTAATAGACTAAGAAAGACTTCAGGAGTCAGAACAAAGTAGCATAGAGTCGGAAGTCCGTGTTAAGCTACCTAACCTCCCTAGGAATCCAATAGACCTCCTTAGGACCCTCGATATTACTAAGGTGAATTTTAAATCATGGATTACATGCTTAGACGATCGATAAGAATTTCTCCCTAGCAAAGTATGCATGAGAGAACTTAGTTGAGATTTGGACGCTACATCTAGTGCGGTTTACATGTTGACCCATTTCAATACATTTCCAGTAGACCTTGCACCCCAGGATCGTGAGCGATCAAAAGTTTAGATCTGTGTGTACCTGGAGATTGGTTAGGCTCGAGGAGCTAACCTCGAACATCTTGGACATGATAGATGAGATTTAAATTAATTAGACGCCCCTAAGAACCTAGCAAACATCCACAACATCAAAAAATGACAAAGGTAGCCTCCTAGGCCGATAGTAGCCAGTATAGTGTCTGAGGACCCCCACTTCCCTTTCCATTTCGATATGGTACTATTGAGCTGGACGTGAGACTGGTTAGGGATGTGTGACTCAGTAGTTTGATATATTAACCTACATGATAGATTTGTCCTGTAGTAGGGCGTTGATCATGCGAGTAGTCAGTGGATTACCTTGGATTGTGAATCTGTCCTGTGGTAGGGTATTGATCATGTGGGCAGTCAATGGTTTCCATCCACGGAGGATTCATCCTATGGAAGGGTGTTGATCATGCGAGTAACCAGTAGAGCTGGCACATATTGGGGGTAGCGCCCACCAACCTTAGGCGACTTCATGGCATGTGGGATGGGTTGACCAGCTAACCTCCCATAACTAACAAGCAATCTAGCACTCACCATGTTGTCCCCACCAGGTACGAAGTCTACTGGAAGTAGCGCCTCAACTTCAAATACCGGTAACTGTTGTGTAGGCTAAGGTAGCTACCCGAGACTATGCACAACAAGAGTAATACACCTAGATCCTAGGGTAAAGCTCGTGTCACCTGCTAGGTCATGGAGTAGCGTTCGAGAACTGTGTGGTTACAAAGGGAGTCGTTCCAGAGTGTCAAGTCCATTTTTGCATTTTAGGCTTTTTTGTATTTTGTTTTATAATTGTATTCCAAACTTGTTCCCCGTTTGTAATATTTTGAACAACACCCTCTTATAATTGGATTTAATTTTGGTTTTGTTGACTTCTTTCTCTTTTTTAAATTCATTTACAATCACAACAATTGAAATAGGTCTAAAAAAATATCCAAATCTAACCCAACCTACGAACACCCCTACCTCTAATAGCAACAATAGTGATATTTCTCTGGCAACCGTTCGTATCGATGATTCTTCTATTATCACTCAAAATGATCATCACATGCAAACATGGAGCTAAGTCTAGAATTGATTGGGCACCAGTTGATTCCTCGATTTTTACATTAGTATGTGTAATAACCTAAGCCCACAGCTAATAAATATTGTTCATTTGACCCATTATATATCGTTATCAGTCTCACAATTTTAAAACGCGTCTTATGTAGAGATTTTCATACCCTTATAAAAAAAATGTTTCGTTCCCTTCTCCAACCGATGTAAAATCTTGCAGTGCGTTGGCCCAGCCTAAGCATCTTCCTTATTGTACATCTCTTCCTCTAGCCATGCATCCACTTTTTGGGCCACAAAATGGTTGATTATGGTCAGGTTGGGGACATTGTGTCCCATTTTGGTGCATCTCATGATTTCTTAGGCATTGGATGAATTGATTGTAGCTTAGAACACAAACGCCCACTTTGAACACCACATGTACTAATAAGAACTGTTCATTTCCTTTTTGGTTGGTAGGTAGCTTTTAGCATGGTAAGCATTCAAATCATTTTACTTCCATAGACTCCCACATTTTAATGCATGAAAATCAAACCAAAACAAGAAAAAATTGGAGGAAAAATTTTGTAATAGTTCAAGTTTACCACTAATACATATTTTTCGCTTTAACCTATTACGTATCTCGTCAGTTTCATGAATTTAAAATAAATCTACCAGGGAGAGGTTTCTACACGCTTATAAGGAATGCTTCGTTTCCCTCTCCAATTGATGTAGGGTTTCATAATCTACCCTCCTTGGGGCCTAGCGTCCTTACTAGCACACCGCCCAGTGTATGACTCTGATACCATTTGTAACAGCCCAAGCCCACCGCTAGTAGATATTGTCCACTTTGGCCCGTTACGTATAGCCGTCAGTCTCACGATTTTAAAACACATCTACTAGGGAGAGATTTCCATACACTTATAAGGAATGTTTCGTTTCTCTCTTCAACCGATGTGTGATCCTACAAATTCAATCCAATTGAATCAAACAATCTAATCTAATTGAATCTGACTGATTAATCTAAACAAACGGAACCGATTCAACTAATTCATAACCCTCCAAAACGAATGTTGAACCAAACACTTTGAACAGACTAGCTTTTCCTTTGTGCGATATGGGTTCTCATAGTGACAACGCACTTCTTCTAGGCGATCTATGGAAGTCAAGGCACGATCAAGGTGCCTAGAAGTGAAGGCTATCGACTTAGAAGACATTCAAGCTAGAAGTTTTTAGTTCAACAATTAATTTCAATATATAGAAGTTTTTAGTTCAACAATTATATAGAATCATCAGCTTTAAATTAAATTTAAAAATAATAATAATAAAAATTAAAAGTACTCACCATAGTAAGTAATAATTCTAACAAAATCTTTTAATAAAAAAAGTATCATACAATTTTTCTCATAAAGATTCTTAAAATAAATTTAACACAAACTTTAAACAGAAAAAACAAACACAATCGAACATCAATTTATAATACAGAAATAAAACCAATTTCAAAAGCAATAGATGAAAGTTCTCCCACAATACACCTTGAAAATTAGATCAGGTATTTATCCATACCAGCATTATTCCGGCGACGGCGGCAGCTCCGGTGAAGAAGACCGGCATTCCGGTAAGTGGAACGGCGGAGGAGTTGTCATCGGTCGAATCCTTGGGATCCTCAGAAATGGCCTTGGCCTTCTTCTTAGACTTCTCCGGCGCGGGAGCAGGGGGTGGTGGGCGGGGCTGGAAGACGCCAATTGGCTTGAGAACTGAGTCGATCTGGTAGACGGCGAGCTGGTTGTCGGAGTAGACGGTGCCCGAGATGGAGGTGTTGGTGAGGCCGGAGGAGACGTTGACAGAGTTGCCGGAGGTGGTGACGTTGAGAGGGAACTCATAGGCGTCGCCAGCCTGAGTTCTCACCGGATTGCTGACTGTTTGGAAGTTTGAGAGAGAGAGGAAGGTTGGGATCATGTGGAATTGGAGAAGCTCTACCTTTTCTTGGTCGTTGAGGGAGTTGAGTGTGCCTGTTTTGTATTCATCAATCATTCAATTATTTCATCTATTTAAAATAAATAGCATACCAAAATTTCGGCTTAAATAAAGAAAAAAGATTCTTCTTTAGTACGGGAAGAAGTCGAGATTCTTCTTTAGTAGCTAAGAAGTCGGAGTCGGAAGTAGAGATTATATTTCTAGTGTATTTTTTTGTTAGTAGAGACAATCTACCTCCCTTCGAGGTCAGCATCCTCACCCAATGGATGTGGGATCTTATAATCCACCCTTTTAGGGCTCAACATCCTTGCTGATACTCGTTACTTTCTCCAATCGATGTGGGCCCCCTAATCTACCTTTTTCGGGTCCCAGCATCCTTGCTGGCACATTGCCTCGTGTCCCCCCTATCTACCCTATTCGGGGCCCAGCATCCTTGCTAGTACACTGCCTTGTGTCCATCCCCTTTGGGGCTCAACCTCGTTACTAGCACACCGCCTAGTGTCAGGCTCTGATACCATTTGTAACAACTTAAGCCTACTGCTAGCAAATATTGTCTTCATTGAGCTTTTTCTTTCGGGTTTTCCCTTAAAATTTTAAAAATGTCTAGTAGGGAGAAGTTTTCACATCTTTATACAAAATGTTTTGTTTTCCTCCCCAACCGATGTGGGATCTTACATCTCGTCAACATCCTTAACCTCTACCCCAAACCCGACCCATTTCATTTATATTTTTCTTTATAAAAATTATTAAATTTATTAAAACAATTTACTTTTTTTTTATAGGTAACTTTATAAGAAAATAGAAATGATCCAAAATCAAATATTAAAATAATTTATTATCAACGAAAGAAATAACTAATACTAATTAAATTAAATAATTATATATTGAGGGAAATAAAAAATAAAAATAAAATAAAATAAATGGTACCCGATTGGAGGTTGGAGAAAGCATTATCAGTGGGGGCAAAAATGGTGAGTTCAGAATTGGAGTCATTAAGCTGAGTGTTGATTTGGTTGGCCACTTGAGTGCTCTTCAAAAGCCTTATCAGAATACTGAACTGCCCACCCTTTTCCAGTATTCTTGATATATTCATCGGCGGCGGCGGTCCCGGAGCCTCCGCCGGCGACTGCCCAAAACTGCCACCAACGAAGAGGTAGAGAAAGAAGATTATGAGAGAGAAGAGGGTATTCATGATCCTTCCCTCTCGATCGCCAAAAACACCAAAAATGAAGATTATTTTGGTGGCGAAGTGGAAAGGAGCCAAAGGGGCTTTTTATACAAAGCTGAGAGAAAGGATGGGAAAGTTAGGTGTCTATGTCAAGCTTCTAAGACGGTGTGTTAGACATAGCTCGGAGAAGCCTGGCTCTTTCCATAAACGATTGTGAGATCCCATGTCGGTTGGAGGGGAAAATTAAGTATTCCTTTTAAAAGTGTAAAAACTCCTTCATAGTAAATGCATTTTGGCTGTTACAAATGATATCAAAGCGAAACAACGGTGCCTCAAGAATGTTTGGATCCCAAGAGGGTGGATTTGAAATCCCACATTTGTTGGAGAGAGAAATGAATTATTTATTATAAGGGTTTCGAAACCTCTCCCTTGTAGGCCTGCTTTAGAATTGTGAAATTAACTGTAATCCGTAACGAGCCAAATTGTGAGGCTGAACATAACTCAAAAAATCTTGTTAGAATAGAGTCGTTTTATTATTATTATTTGTTTAAATATCATTTTGGCCTCTAAGCTTTCTTGTTACATTTTGATTAAAAATGCTTGAAACAAATTAAAAGACGAATGAGATGGGGAGGTTGGGTCGAAACTGTGAGATCCAATGTCATGAGGAGAAGCTAGAGAGAAAGTCCAAAGATGACAATATTTACTAGCTATGGACTTGGGATGTTACAAATGGTATCAGAGCCAGACATCAGGCGATGTGCTTTGGACTTAGGCGGTTACAAATGGTATTAGAGCCAGACATCATGTGGTGTACCTGTGAGGACGTTGAATTTCGAAGGGGAGTGAACATTGGACAGGGTGTCAGCAAGGGCACTCGGCTCCTAGGAAGATGGATAGTAACAATTAATAATTAATGATTAATGATTTATTCAAACAAATTAGAAATGAAACTTTATGTAAAATTATAACTTTATGTTGTATTTGAAATCATTATTTTTGGATCTTTTCAAAACAAGAAAAGCTTTCATTACTCTTACTTCATTTTATACCTTGCGACAATAAAAAAACAGGCTTTTTTTTTTTTCATTTTCTTAAAATAAAATGATTTGTTTTCCCATCATTTTCAAAATAATTAATGAAAAGAACGTTTAATTAGGATAAATCGTGTTTTTAATGGGTTGTTTCTAATATGTATAAATCTAGATTAGACGAGTTTAAAAGCAAACAAACAGATAAAAATTAGGCCAAAACTAGCAAGTTGAGGGCGATCGGAGGTTTGGTCTGAATTTCATCATACCCTCGAGATGTGAGACCAAAGGAAGATTTAACTCGAGGCAAAACCCATGATACAGGGTTGTCCCAAGGCCAATGCAAACCGTAGCTTTCTCATGGTCGACCATCTCAAGAGCGACCTAAATGGATGTGGTCAAACTTGTCATTATAAATATATCATCATGACGGAGACAACCTCTATATCAAACTCATACATAAGTAATCTGGCACGCTCCTTAGATTTTTTTTATGGCCCCTCAAGAAGTCGAGGTGAAAATCTCATATACGATTCCATAATAGCAATGAGAATAGTGATGTTGTTACTCAATATCATGATCCAACCGTTACAGTTGACATAGTTAAGGCTCTGACCGAAGAAAAGTAAGCCCATTGTTTCTCCTAAAACCTGAAGCTTTTATAACGCTTTCACTCCCAGAATCAAGGAATTGAAGTGTGTGTGGAAAATTCCGCATTTTCTCTCTCTATTCTTTGTGTTCATCTATATCAAGTGTGCGCGTTGTTGTGCATTCTTAACATTAACTTGTCTGAAATTTCTGATCAACCATTCCCGTTAAAATTATTTATTGGATTCTTTTTTAAAAAAAATTATATATTATAAAATTTAGAAGATCAACTTGTTTTACCTTTCTTGAAAACAACAGAGAAATGATTAGAGAGACAAAGGAGATGAGATGTAAGAGCAGATAGATTGCTTGTGAAAGCAGAAATTTGAAAGATGATCATCATTGCTTAACTTTCACTTATATAAATTATTTGTAAAGAAATTCATATGGTTTGCCACAAACTTAAGCAATAAGCTATCAGATTTAAATGTTTCATGAATTGTAATGATTTTGAATTGGGACCAACCCTCTTGTGAATGTTTGCTCAAATGCTTTTTCATTTGGATCTTGAGCTCACTATGTAACCAAGCTTAAAATACATCTCCATTTTTATGTACTCTATATAGCTTGTGGTGAAGAATAAATTTTAAAATGATGATTCTCGAGTTCTCGAGTTTGATCGTTAAATTGGCTCGATTCAAGCTCAAGAAAGAAAAAACCTAGAAGTGAAGTATGATAAGAAGGTTTAAAGTGTTACGGATGCAACATGCATTTCTTTTCTTTAAGTAAGAGTTCTGTTGTGAGATCCTATGTTGGTTGGGGAGGGGAATGAAACGTTTCTTATAAGGTTGTGAAAATCTCTCTCTAGCAGATGCGTTTTAAAATCGTGAGGCTGTAAGCGATATGTAACTGGCTAAAACGGACAATATGGGCTAACAGTGGGCTTGGACTATTTCATATGGTATTAGAGTTAGACATGGGATAGTGTGTTAGTGAGGATGTTAAAAGATCCCACCTTGATTGGAGAAGGGATTAAAGAATTTTTTATGAGGGTGTGGAAACTTTTCCTAACAGACTATTTTAAAATCATGAAGCTGACGGTGATATGTAACGAGTTAAATCGGACAATATCTGCTAGCGGTGGGCTTGGGCTATTATATATGGTATCGGAGTCAGACACCGAGCGGTATGCTACCAAAGACGTTGAGCTCCCAAGGGGGTTGGATTGTGAGAGTCCACCTCGGTTGGAGAGGGAAACAAAACATTTCTTATAAGGGTGTGAAAACCTCTCCTTAGCAGATGGCGACGTAACAGCCGAAAACAGACAATATTTGCTAGCAATGGGCATAGGGTATTACAAATAGTCTTAGAGTCAAACACCGAGCAGTGTGCTAGTGGACGCTAGGCTCCCGAAGGGGGTGAATTGTGAGATCCCACATTGATTAGAGAGGGGAACAAAACATTCATTATAATGGTGTGGAAATTTTTCTCTAGCATACGCATTTTAAAATCGTGAGGTTGACGACAATACGTAACGGACTAAAACGAACAATATTTGTTAGTGGTGGGCTTGAGCCATTACATCTATTGTGCAAATTATTCGGATATTATTACCAACATTTTGAACGGAGAAACTTATACTACGTCGAATGCAAGATTGTGTATGAGGTTAAGTTGTGTGTTCAACCAAATTCTTGTTTATATAAGATTCGTGGTATTATTCTTCTCGTGTCCGTTGCCAATTTATAGTCATTGAGATTCATAGGCAATTTGGATCTCATAGTACCCTCTCTTTCTCGATCCAACTCTTCCACGTATTCGATATGTATTCTCAAGCTTCGGGAGGATCTTACTACTACATCATTATTTATTACATCTTACAAAACATATTAAAATCAGAATGACGAATGTCTCGATCTTACATCACCCTTGATTGATAAAACTAAACTTTGTTCTTGAATCAATCTTTTCAATATTTATTGCACAAAGGTTTTAGAGCAAGTAATTTCGCAAGATATTTTCTTACTATGATTCATAACGCTAAACTAAAACTTATAAGAATCTCTTGAATTGTCTCCTCTTTCGTTGATCGTCATCATTACTGTAACCATTATCTTGGTTCGCCCCGAATCCAGTGTTCAAAAATTGGATTTGACATCTGATGTCTCTGGTATTTTCCGTCACGTTACTTACTTTTCTCTTTTAAGAAGAAGATTATCTCCATAGACCAACATAATTCTTTTCCGTCAGTTTTGTTTCAAACATGTATTTCTTAGAAAAAACTTCAGAATGTCACCCGGCATAAGATTTCTCCAAACAAAATACGCTTAATTATGAAGTTATTATGATTAAGCCTTCGAAAAAGAGAGGTGCATGTTATTGATATTGGTAACAACTTTCATTGTTGTCGTCGTTCTTAGTCATTCTATCATTAAAATGTTCTCATTCAAATGTGGTCGTGATTCATTCATATACTTCTTATTTATTCATATTTGAAATTTAGAAACCAACCTCGTTAATCGAAGCAATAAAATTGCCATTTTAGCACATCACAAATTGCTACAACACTCTTCTTCCACACATCTTATCCTCATTGATATAAGGGCAAAAAGATAATTTAAAGACAGGATTTTCCAAACAAAAAAAACAATCTAAGACAAAACAAAAAAACAGAACAAGAACAAGAACAACAGCAAAGAAATGTTGGTTATTGGTTTCAACATTTGGGAAGATCAGCTGGTGGAGGCAAGAGCTTCTGATTAGGGAGCTTTCCATCCAATACCAACCAAGCCATTTTTAAGCCCCAACTTGTGTGTACCTCTAAGTGACAATGCATGAACCATACTCCTATATATCCACACACACAAAAAAAAAAAAAAAAAAAAAAAAAAAAAAAAAAAAAAAAAAAAAAAAAAAAAAAAAAAAAAAAAAAAAAAAAAAAAAAAAAAATTAGCTTTTATAGAAAGCAAATATTTAATGAATACGTACACAAATTTTAGACTCAATTTTGCACGTTAATTCTTAATAGAAGTGTTTATGGGTTTGGACAATTTTTTAGATGCGACCCAATTGTTCAGGTTGTCCGCTTTTTAATCTCAAACAACCTTTATTAAATAATAAACTCAACCCAACCTAACCCAACCATAAAATCTTTGGATTAGGTTAGTTCTGTGTTATTCTCGAAAAGGCTAATATGTAAAACATCTATTTATTTATTTTTAAATACACGGTATATATATATATATATATATATACAATAATAAATTGGGGTTAGTTTAGTTCATCCTAAAATAATTATAGGAAAATTCATGAACCAGCCCTAATTTGAGTTGAGTTGAGTTGATCAAAGTCTTTTGAACCCCTTTTAACTCTTAGTCAAATTTGAAAATAAAAACTTGGTAAAAAGGCCCTAAACCTTATTTAATTACAAGAAACAAACACAAATTTTTAAAATTTACAAATAAAAATGAAATGGGCAAGCAAAAGAAACTCGTGGATTAAAAAAAAACATTTAAAAGCTTAATTTTGAAAAAATAAATGATTATGATAAACATGATGGTAAAGTTGAAATCTTTCATGTTCGTAATGTATCAGTTTAAGCTTTTAGATCGAGTTGATTTTACCGACCTGGGTTATCAGCGAGAAACCGAATAGCAACCCATCCTCCCGATGGCACACCGACCGTGTTCCTTTCAATGGGATCAACAAGGTTGAAATTTGCAGGGTCTTTATTAGGATCAAAGTTCCCAAATCCTTGTCCAACCACAAAAAAATTAAAGCCATGCAAATGAAGAGGGTGACTTTCAGCTCCAAGAATACTTGTATCTTGCATTATCAACTCCACGCTTGTATTAAAAGGCAACACGACCAACTTTGTCCCATTACTAACCATAGTATTGTTTGGAGGGCTACCAGTGTAATTAAAAGGAATCAAAGGATCATTTGGAAAAAATGGGACATAAACCCCATTAGATTGCCCTTTGTAATGAGCTTGAAGAATGGCTGTATTTGGCATTACAAAAGAAACATTGTTTATTGAGGCTGCAAACATTGTTCCATTTGGTCCTTGACATGTTTGGTTCTTTTGGTTACAAGGGTTTGTCCCGAGCCCGACCGTGAAGAAAAAATTTTTGTCAATTTTTTGAGGAACATTGGCGGGAAACTCGAAGTTGGCTAAGCTTCTAAGTTTTTTGGTGTAATTTGTAGCGAAAGAAGTGTCGTTTAGAGCGGGAAGATTTGGTTTGAAAAGTGGTAGGTTTTTTTGGTGTTTTAAGGTTTGGTATTCTAGGATTCCTGCAACGGTGGAGTTGTCGAATGTTCCTTGACCTGTTACGTATGGTCGTGCTAGCATTAAAAATGAGGCGTTTGGGAAGTGGGATTTGGTGTGGAGGAGGAGGTTTGTGGTCTGTCCTGGTGCTATTAAAAGAGTGTTGGTTTTGAAGGGTTTGATGTAAATGGCATCCACATCGACTATTGTGAGGGTGTGGTTTGCTATGCTGAAGAAGAGTTCGTCGTTTAATGCTGCGTTGATTAGACGTAGAAGATATGTTTTTCCTGGCTTCACTTTTAGCTTTAATGTTTCTGCATGGACCGATCATTGAGAACAAAAGGTTAGAAATTTGTACGAACATCCTTTGGTTTTGGATTTCGAGTCGAAACTAACAGATATTGTTTTCTTTGGACATTTCTTTTCGGGATTTCCCTAAAAAATTTTAAAACACGTCTCGAGAGGTTTCCACATTCTTGTGAAAAATGTTTCGTTATGGGATCTCACAATCTATTCTCTTTAGGGGCCCAGAGTCCTTGCTGGCGCAATGCCTCGTGTCCACTCCCTTTGGAGTTCAGCTTTCCTGCTGGCACATCGCCCAGTGTCTAGCTGTGATACAATTTGTAATAGCTCTAGCCACCATTAGCAAATATTGTCCTATTTAGGTTTTTCCTTTCGGTTATCATCAAGGTTTTTAAAACGCGTCTACTAGGGAGACGTTTCCACACCCTTATAAAAAATGTTTCGCTCTTCTCCCTTATCGATGTGGAATCTCACAGACGCTGGCACACTGCCTCGTGTCCACCTCCTTTCGAAGTTCAGCCTCCTCACTGGCACATCGTCTGATGTCTGGCTCTAATATCATTTGTAACAACTCAAGCTCACTACTAGTAAATATTTTCCTCTTTGGGCTTTCCCTTTCGAGTTTCCTCTCAAGGTTTTTAAAACGTGTATGCTAGGGAGAGGTTTCCACACCTTTATAAAGAATGTTTCGTTCTCCTCCCCAACCTATGTAGAATCTCATGGACACTAGCACAGCCTCCTGTCCAGAGACTCAGCCTCTTCGTTGGTACATTGCCCGACGTCTGACTCTGATATCATTTGTAACAACTCTAGCCCAACGCTAACAAATATTATCCTTTTTAGATTTTCTCTTTCGGCCTTCCCCTCAACGTTCTTAAAATGCGTCTGCTAGGGAGAGATTTTCACACCCTTATAAAGAATGTTTCGTTCTCCTCCTCAACCGATGTAGAATCTCACAAAAACAAGATACGAGAAACAAAACCATCACCAAGACGACTCGAAACACATTATTTTCCAATACCTTTAGCGGAGCAATTATACAAAGGTCCGGGAAGACCATTCATTGTATAGGCATCAGATACATTCGGACCTCCACCCGTTTGCAGAGCTTGGCTAATAACCGCTTCAGTATCCGCATTCCACCACTCCCCTTTTCAAACAAAACCATATCGAAACAAGTCAAGGTCATTAGAAAGCGTTTAATCGCAAGAATACACAAAATTTATAGGGTTTAGAGAGATTAATTAAGAGATAATGAAGGTTAATTACCAAAGATGATTGGGAACTCTTTGTGGGGTTTGGGAAATGGATAAGGAACTCCATGTTTAGGAAGAATGATTATAGGTCCATAGAGTGTTGATCGTAGCCAAGAAATGTGAGCATGCCAAAATAGAGTTCCTCTTTGCCCAACAATGGTGTAATTATACACATAACTTTGACCACTTTGAATTGGACATTGAGTTATGTATGCTGGTCCATCAGCCCAACCTGATCTAAGTTGTCGTATCCCATGCCTAAACTCAAACAAAAGAGTTCATAATGTTGTTAGGTTGATGTTTTCTCGTACAAAAATACTCAATTAGGCTCGAGAATTTGATTCTAGTTCTTATTTGGTCTTTAAATTTCAAACGGTTACATTTTGACTCCTTAATTTCGAGTTTGATTTCAATTTGATCCCAGTTTTTACTCCTTAATTATAAGTTTCAAAAATGTGCATTAATGAAAATTTCAAGGTAAAAATATAAAATATTGAAACCCGAAGATCAATATTATCATCTTTGAACTTTCTTTTACGGGCTCCTCTCAATGTTTTAAAACCTGTATGCTAGGGAGATGTTTCTACATACTTGAGGAATTCATATTATTCTCTTTGGACTTTCCCTTTCGGGCTCCCCTCAAGGTTTTAAAACGCGTCTGCTAGGGAGAGGTTTCTACATCCTTATAAGAATGGTTCATTCCCCTCTCCAATTGACGTGGGATCTCACAATCCACCACCCCCCTGTGGGCCAGTGTCGTTGCTGGCACACCGCCCAATACCATTTGTTACATCCCAAGCCTACCACTAGCAGATATTGTCTTCGTTGAGCTTTCCCTTTCAGGCTTCCCCTCAAAGTTTTAAAATGTATCTAATAGGGAGAGTTTTTCACACTTTCATAAAAAATGTTTTATTCCTCTCTCCAACTAACGTGGGGATCTCACAAAACTCGAAGGTAAAAATTGAAGCCACAAGAACAATAAACGACATTTTTTATTAAACCTAACGAGCAAACGAAAACTAAGAGACCAAAAGGAGACATGGTTACACACATGAATGTCAATGAGAATGAATATCAAAAACAAAATTATACCAATGAATAGATATGTTGTTGGAGACATGGTTAACCACTTTGATAAGTAAACGGTCACCCTCTCTAGCAAAAATACGAGGTCCAGGAAACTTGCCATTCACTGTCACCATGCTCTTTGTATGGCACAAACGTGTCACATTTTGCAATCTAATCTGAAAAACATCCAAACATACAAACATTCCCATTTCATTAAACTCTTCAAAAAACAGACAAAAATCAAACAATAAAAACACATACTTCAAAGTTGTAATGTCTGGTTACGCCTGCAAATACCAGCTCAGGAATCACAAATGAACACAAAATGAAGCAAAAGAAGAAGACAAGGCTGTGATTTGAAACACCCATTTCTTGGAAGAACAAGATCTTAGGAGATTGGTGGGTGATTTTGTGAAAGGATTTATGAATATGTATATATATATAGTGGAAAAAAGTGAAGTTTTTGGTTGGTCAATAGGGTTAAGATCATCAAGAACACACTTAATTTTGATATTGACATGTGCATTCTAAGAGGGGAGAGGGCCAGCTAGGGTTGTTAGAACCACTTAGAGTAGTGTCCAAGATAATCAATGATATTACATTTTTATGTTCTTGTTCTTGTTCTTCAATTAATCTCTTTCAATTTTTCTTATATCTTGTAATTAATCATGTCTTTGGTGATCTAATGTGTAATCCCCATCATGTTTTTATTAGGTAAACAATTGCCATGTAACGACCGCCCACCGCTACCAGATATTGTTCTATTTAAGCTTTCCCTTTCGGGTTTTCCCTCAAGGCTTTAAAGCGTCTACTAAGAGAAGGTTTCCACAACCCTATGAAGCGTGATTTGTTCTTCTTCCCAACCAATGTGGGACATCACAATCCACCCCCCTTCGGGGCCAACATTCTCACTGGTACTCATTTCTTTCTCCAATCGATGTGGGATCGCCACCAAATCCACCTCCCTTTGGAGCCAGCGTCCTTATTGGCATACCGCCTCGTGTCTATCCCACGTTGGGGAACAACGAGAAGACTAGCACATCGTCTGATGTCTAGCCCTAATATCATTTGTAACGACCCAAACTCACCACTAGCAGGTATTGTCCTCTTTGGACTTTCCCTTTTGGGCTTCCCCTCAAGGCTTTAAAACTCGTCTACTAGAAGAAGATTTTCACACCCGTATAAACGGGGTTTTGTTCTCCTCCCCAACCAATGTGGGACATCACAACGTATCAGGCCAAAATGGACAATATTTGTTAGTGGTGGGCTTGAACCATTACAAATAGTATCAGATCTAGATATCGGTCAGTGTGTCAGCGAGGACGTTGAGCTTCTAGTCTCAAAGCATATTTTATAAGATTAAAACTGCGAAGCTTACGGTAACAATAAAATGAAAATGTTAATTTTTATTTGAATATTTGAAATTAATTTCATAAATGTTATATAATTATGATACATTAATTAATGAAATCATAAGTTAGTAAAAGGATATTAAATAGTTTATCATTAATTGATAACGAATAATAATATATAATTTTAATTGAAGCTTGAGTTATAAAAGTTAAAAATTTATACTAAATTATTTGAATTAATTAAATATATTTAATAAATTCTAATTTATTACAAGTCTTAGTAAATACCCAATTACATTAATTTAGTATCTGTTAAGTATATTTCTAATCAATCAATTATCATTAGTTTATAACAATTGATTAATTAATTAAGTAGATTCAATACATTATTATAGGTATTAATTTTTATATAATCCCATTAAAACCTCAACTTTTATAGAAAAAAATTTACTAAAATAACCTCGACTTTTCTATATATTTCATTTTCTCCTCTTTTAAATCTTAAATTTAATGAGCCCGAGTAGTTTACCAGATAGATTGATAAGTCGGGCATTCCCAACCCACCAAGCGAAACCGCTGGTTTCTTGGTCACGACCAGCTAAAGCTAAAGTTCAATTAAAAATCGTTTCTACAAAGTAGAACCTCCTCACGAAATATAAGGTTTTCATGAGGCTAATCTTGAGCCATCATCCGAACACGAATACCTTCCTTTAAGAGAATCTTTTTGGTACATAAAGTCTCAAATTCATCAAAATTAAATAATAAATAATAGTAATTTTTAGAGAAAATATTATTAATAATGGCTATTATTTTAATCCATATAATTGAAATATATATATATAAGAAATAAAACATAGAATTAAAGTGGTTAAAAGATTTAGAATTAAAATTGAAAAAAGGACACAAAACACGACCAACAAAAGGAAAAGGTCAAAAGTTGACCTTTCATGCAAAGAAATAGTTGTTGGGATGGTTTGTCATATGAGTTGGTTCGGTTTTTGGTGATTAAAAAAATATAATAAAATAAAAGGAAAAGGGTTTCATATCAGTTCACAAGTCATTTTAGGGTTTGAAATAAGATATATATATATATATATATATATTATTGCATGGAGTTTGGGGGAAGAGACATGTAATAAATAATAATAAAATAATTAGGATACGATATGATATGAACAGTTGGTTGGATAACCTCTTTTGAAGCTATTTTGTTTGAAGCAATAAAAACCAGAGACCAACGACCAGACATTGTTCCTTTTTGTAAGTTACTATGTTTGTGTGTGTTTCTTGTTGGATATCTTGTTTTTCAATTTATTATTTATTCAAATGGCTGTGGAGCCACCATGTTTGGCTTGTAGAATGGAGCTTGTTGGTCCATGCAACCTCCATGCTTACAAATGGGGATCAATGGCTGCTTCAACGTGGTATCAACTTAGAGGTTTGGAATGCGGGATTGGAAACTCGGAGAATAAAAAAAACCTTTATGTTCGGGAAGTCAGTCGTGCTTGCATGTGCAGGGTGTAGCACCCTCGACCTTTAGCCACTCCATGGCTTGTGTAATGGGTTCGGTTGTGCTACTTGATAGTAGAGTGTTCTTGCCTCTGTTAGATGAATACGACTCTCTACAATGGTATAAAATTGTCCACTTTAAGTATAAGCTCTCATGGCTTTACTTTGGGTTTCCCCAAAAAGCCTTATACCAATGGAGAGAATATTCCTTAACTCATGATCATTCCCTAAATTAGCCGATGTGGGACTTTCATGTAACAACCTCAACTCCTGATACCAAACATCGTTGTGTAAGCTAGCTAGTGTTAGGATCGCACAACAACGCATACACTCGATCTAGATGAACACAAAGAAACAAGAGAGAGAAAATGCAAAGATAACTCTGGCTAAAGGATTTGTATTATAAAACATTTTCAAAGCTCTCGAGGGATATATATATATATATGGTTTAGCTTTACCAGATATAACAATCTACTATATATATTTAGATATACTTTTTTACGAGTTATTTATCATTTACTATGTCATTTACCAAATATAACTTTAATATATATAACCGTTGACTCAGCTATACTATATATAACCGTTGACTCAGCTATAAATAAGCAGCAGGCTACATAACCTAGCTAAGACTGCACAACGAGAACAACATACCTAGGTTCTAGAGATCAGTTTGTGGTCTTCTGCTAGATCAAAGATGCGATGAGAGCTTACAAGTAGATTGATTACTAAGAATATTTGTATTTCATTACTTTCTACATTTTCTTTTCTAGGTGCATGACGATGTTGGTCGAGGCGAGGGGGTGTTCGAGAGGACCTGGTATCCTTAAGACAAGGTATTTTTGGAAAAATGGTTATAAAATGGTAAAATTGAAAATTTAACCCACATGAAGTTTAATTTGCAAGGGCAACCCTCGTAATAAACAAAATTTATAAGGATAACCGTAAAAAGTGGCAATTTGTAAAAATGGCCCTAAAGGTTATAAATTTAGAAAAATAGCCCCATAATTAGCCCAATTGAAAATTAAGCCCACTCAATACTTAGCTAATTTGGAAGCTAGTTCATAAGATGACAAATTGATATTTTGGGGGCATAAAATGATTATTTTCGGAGATAATTATCAAGTTATTAATTAATAATTGAAGAAAATTTTTGAGATAATCAACCATGGGATGCTTGCCAAGTGGAAGATTCTTATTGGTGGAATTCAAATTTGAAAAAGCTTAAATGAAGTCAACCCAAAATCTGACCTTCCCTCGGTTTTTCTTATTCTTAACCCCCTTCCAAATCCGTTCTCACGAAATTTAAACCTCGTGTGTACTTCCTCCATACTTGAAACTTAAAATTCATATCGATCCACAACTCCAACTACATCACTATTTTAACTGAATATGAAAAGAAGTAAAGAAACGAGATTAATCGAAGGCTAGATTATGGGAATGCTTACTCGATTTTTCTCAAAGTTTGTCTTCTATATACCACGTAAAAGCTTGATTTTGGTCTCTCTAGGGTTCATAAGAAGGAGATCTACAAGTCTTGTGAAGTTTGAAAACGCAAGAAACACAAAACGTAAATCAAGCCCCTCGATAAGAAATCTAGAATTTGGGCGTTTTTTATTGAAAGAATTAGCGTGTCTAATCTAACCCAAAAGTTTCTTGAGCTCAAGTAAGAAGTTTTTCGTGAAGAGCTCGAAGAAAAACAACAAAAAAGACGGCCCATGTTTCTTGTTGGAAGTTTGGGTCTAGAATTCTGAACTTTGAGAAATTTCTCGTCTACAATGAATCTCATCTTTAAAAATCAATTTGTACACTTTCGTGGCAAGAATAGGAACAACTTTGATGAAGAAACCAAAGGCTAAAAGTTGCTGGAACGTTGGAACCCATTGGTTGACTTTCGATACGCTGTTTAAGTTTGAAATTCAGAACTTCGACTCAAAATTTTGTCATATATAGATTGATTCGTTTTATGGGTCTTATACCATTAAATTAAGGGCAAGAGAAGGAACAAATTTGTTGAAGAAATCGAGAGGAGATGAACTTTAAATCGTTCGAATCAAAAGCAATTTGGAATTAATTTTCTTGGTAAGTTCATTACCAAGTAGCCTACTTTGACACTGATGTATCTTTCTGGTTTCTAAATCAAATGAACATAAATATATCCCAAAAGATCTGTGGTGTGTAGGACTACAAGATTCATGAAGAAATCGAGTGGAAATAATCATTGTATCAACAGAAAAATACGAGTTTTAGAGGGGTCAAGAACTGTTTTTCGTGCATTGCTGGCCTGAGGTTTATGATGATGATGTGGCATCTCTCGAGGTGACCACGTCATCCCCTTTAGATTTGCTGGACACTTCTAAACTAGTTCATTTATGCTTAAATCGGTTCTCACAATAAGTTTTGATGTTGAAATAAATAGAATCAGTTTGGGACCTATTTTAGGAAAAATTAGCTTCGGGAAGGTCATAAAAAGTGAACCTGAACATGATCGAACAGGTAAACAACTACATAGAATGCCCTTTGCTCACTCTTTGGGT